AGCCGCAGTGAGCGGCTGTCCAGAAGCCAGAGACTGATCTGTCTCACCTGGGAAGAGCGCAATGATGGTGCCAACTTGGGTCAGTGAAGCAACGTCCTCCACAACTAGACTGAAGAACAAAACGACAGCAACGTGTCTGTTCCCTTTCCCTCAATTCCCCAGTGCTGTTCCCCTCCCCCAAGTCCACAATAAAAATCTTTAAAAAAAAAATGGGCAAAAGGTCTGAAGAGGAATTTCCCAAAAGGAGATACACATGAAAAGATGTTCACATCATGAGGAACTAGGGAAAACAACAGTTAAAATCATAATGAGATGTCACTATACACCTATTAGAATGGCAAAAACCGATAATGCCAAGTCCTGGAAAGGAGCAGAGTAATTGGAATTCTCATTCATTGTTGACAGGTACGCAAAATGGTACAGCCACTTTGGAAAAAAGTTTGGCAGTTTTATCATATGATGTAGAAATGCCATTCCTAGGTATTTACCCATGTGAAGCAAAAACCTATGTTCATTAAAAACTCTGTGCACAAATGTTCATAGCAACCTCATTCGTTATTGCCCCAAATTGGAAACTATCCAAATATCTATCAATTTGTGAATGGACAAATAAACTGTGGTTCAGCCACACAATAGACTACTACTTGGCAATAAAACACTCCACAAACTACCAGCACATACAACATAAATGATTCTCAAATATAACACATTATTAAGCGAAAGAAGCTAGGCTCAAAGACCATACACTGTGTGGGTCCATTTATATGGTATTTGGGAAAAGGCAAATCCATACGGGCAGGAATCAGGTCTGCGGGGTGTGGGGGTGGGTGGAGGGCTTGATGGCCAAGTGCCATGGGGAGGTTTTGCAGGAGATAGAACTGTTCTGTATCGGTTGTGGTGACAGTTACACATCCGTAGGTATTTGTCAAACTCACAGCACTAGAACACTAAAACGGGTGAATTTCACTGTACGTAAATGGGACCTTGATAAGAACAAATGTATACTTTAAAATAGCACTCTTGTCTGATGGGTGGAGAACGGGGGAGGGGGAAAGAGTGGAAGAGGGGGAACATGTCAGGAGGCTATTACAATATTCCAGCGCAAGATGGTGGTGATGACTGGGATGGTGGCGCTAGAGCTGTAGGCAAACAGGAGGATACAAGATACATTTGTAAGACTGTATCAAAAGGACATGTGACTGATGGTGGATTAGGTGTGCAGGATGTGGGAGGAGTTTCAGGGCTGATCCCCAGGCATCTGGGAGGATGAAGGTGTACTAAATTCTGGTACAGAATTTCTTGTAATTCCTGGAATGCGCCATCATGCCCCGGAACCTTTCCCGTGGGGTTCTCTCTTCCTGGAACAATTCCTTCACTTGATGCCCTGCCACTCATCCAAGAGCTAGCTCATAATCAGCAGCCTGGTTTGTAAGCTTCCCCTTTGCATTTATATATCACGTTGTGAATATTCCTATCATGGCAGGGTACTGCGATCGTCACTTCATTCACCTGCCTCTTCCACCATAAAAAGCATTTTAAGGGGATTTATGTGGAAGGAACTAATTCTAAATATTATCATATAACCAAGACTTTTCAAACCTAGTAATAGATTATAACTATACCATTAGCATTATATTTACAAAGTTCACACTAATAGAATGAACGTAAACAGAACAAATATTACTACTACTGTGATGCAAATAATCATCAGTGGCTCAATGACCAAATTTTTTCCTAATTATCCATTATAATGAAAGCCAGGGCGCTTCAGCAAGAATACTCTGGACTAGGGTTGAAAGGCCATGGTGCACCCCTCGCTCTGCCAGCCACTGGTGGGATGACCCCCAGCAAGTTACCTTACTTCTTTGTGTCCCTGCATATAGAGTACAATAACCATAAAATGGAGATTTCAAGGGTCAATGAACTTATACAAGGATAAGTGGTCAGCGCAGGACCTGGTGTATGGTAAGAGCATATGCAGAAAGAAACTAGTTATATAACCCGCACATGTCAATCAAATGACCTCGTCTATACGCTGCATCTCCCTCTGTAAGGAAATTCACCCACCCTTTCCTATATAAGAAAAAACTAACCTAAAGTTAGGTGCAGTTGTCCACTTGAGACTCTGCCCCTGGCAGCCTCTCTGCTGGTGCCTTTCCTCTTAAATAAATTGTCTAATTTCTATTCCTTTTGAGTCTGTGAATTCTTTCACTTTCTGCGAAGGACCAGGGGTTCATTCTATACCAGTACACAGTTTAAGACAAAAGTCAGGCCCCATTTTCCATGCTTAATATTCTAGTGATTTTTGAAAGTCTCCTTGGGAGCATGTCCTAAGTGGAGTTACTGTATAGACTATAATGTAAGTGAAGATGAGTTCTGACAGCAATGGCTACGGCCACACAGTGTGGAAAGGCGAGCGAAAACTTTCTGAGCACATACAAGTATAGGTTTTTATAGTAACCAGACCCTGTTAGAATTATGTACATTTATAAATATACAATGATAATGATAAATTAGATACCCATACCAAAAGCAACTGCCTTTAACTGCCTCGGTAAGTTAGGAATTGGTAAGTTGCTTACCTTTTGGGAAGATATCTTTTAGAGGGACTTCTCCTGGGGGCAAAATCCTGACAATCTGATTAGTATCTACGAGGGCCACACAATTGCTTTGTTTTGGAGTTCCACTTCTCTTCTTTCTCCCATAGAACGCTGTGTCAGTGACACTTGATTTATGCAAAGACGATGGCCTTTTCCAAGAATAAACTTCATTTGGTGACTGAAAACAAGGAGAGATTCAAGCACTGAAGTGCTATGAACTACCATCAGCATCACTGTTATAACGCAGCCCTTTAAGCAGATACCAGGGCTAAGCTTACATTTCACAAGTATAAGAAAGTAAATTATTCCTAGACCTTTTTGAATTTGATACAGGAGATAGCTGCTTCACAAATAACCATAATTTTCAGGCAAGTGTGATGATACAACGTATTTTTAATCTTGAAATGAATTATAACTAAGAGGAGGAAACATAACAATATAGTTTAAAAATAAAACACATCTATTGCATCTGCTATCTGGCATTAAGAAATAGAACATTACTAGTGCTTTTTACTTATAGTTGACATACAACATATTAGTTTCAAGTGTACAACACAGTGACTCGACACCTACATACCTTACGAAGGGATCACCATAAGTCTACTTACGATAAGGTCCATAGCCCACACCGGGCTCTGCTCACGCACAGACGCTCGCCTCCCCTGACTTGGGCTCCCACATGGTACATCAGGCTGCTCCTTCATGGGGACACCATCTTCAGCCTGCCTGGACTCGATTCCCAGCACCAGGGGTCGCTCCCTCCCCCATCACAGATGTTCATTTCACCTGCTCAGGCTCTAACCTCTGACACCTCACACTGGGCCACTGTTTGCCCATTTTTTTTTTAATATTGGATTATTGGTTTTCTTACTCTTGAGTTTTAAGAAATCTTTATATATTCCTAATACAAGTCTTTTGTTGGAAATGTGATTTGGCAATATTTTCTCCCATCCTGGAGATTGTTTTTTCATTCTCTTAACAGTGCCTTTTACAGAGCTTAAGTTTTTAGTTTCGTGAAATTCAACTCATCAATTTTTTTTGATGGATTACACCTGAGATGCTCAGTACAATGTTTAATAGAAGTGGACATAGTGGGTATCCTTGTACTAGTCTTGATAGTAAAACTAATGCTTTTAAGGTTTCGTTATTGAGGATAATTGCTGTAGGTTTTTGTAGGTATTTGGTATTAGGGTAAGAAAGTTTTAATAAGTGCATAATATTTAGGTGCCTCTGATAATGCTATAGAAAGTTAAGAGGTGACATACCCCTTGGTTGATATAATAGTTTCATGAGGAATAGAAAAAACAACTCACATAGAAGCAGAAAGGGCACCGTGGTATAGTAGAAAGGACATGGTCTGAAGGTCAGTCACACTTGGGCCCAAACCCCAGCTCTCTTAGTCATAATCTTTGTGGCCTAGGGGATACATCGTCTCTGCTTCTGTTTCTTCATCTATAAAACCTTGTAGAATTGTTGTAAAAATTATCATGTATGAAAAGGTTTAGAATAATGCAGTGTCTGACAATTGTGTTGGGGCCTAAAAATATGATTGTCATCATGAAATGCTGAAAGGCTGCCGAACTGACTGATCCCTCATTATAAAAACATTCATCAAACGTCTCCCATGTGGTGAGCACCATCCTAAATATGGCAGCTAGAGCTTTTAATTTAACACAGTCACTACTTGTACAAGCTATGAAGGATTTCTGTAGTGTTAATACAAACACTGTCTTATATTCATCCTTTACTTTCTAACCTTTTTATACTAACATTATATTTCTATACTAATCTCTTCAATCAGAGGATCAATTTTTTAAAGAGTTCTACCTTCAGAAAAATAGCTCCAGTGTTTTCTCTACTGATAGCAGCAAGCATCGTAGAAAGCATATAAACATCTCTTCATTCAATCAAGGTTGCTGTAGATACCATATTCCAACAACATGTTTCATTTTCAGTTATATAACACCATAGCAAATGACTTTCACTTGATAATTAGGAAGACACATGGTAAAGTCCTAAGGCACATATTATCCCCTGGGTTTTGGATTTCAAAAAGTCTTGTACCCGAAAGTACTCATCATTCATTAATTATATTAACATTTTGAGGTATGTGAGATTGGTGTACTACCAAGGAGCACCAGTGTTTTTTTTATTTTTAAATGATTCTATCATCCCATCTAAAAGTTACAAAGGAAATTATGAAAATTAAATGTGTACTCAAAACACACAAGGCTACACTTAAGGTTATCAGATGGCACCTTGGACTGAAATAACCTTTACGCTTCATTTTCCCACATTTCCATCAGGGAAGCTGGTGCCTGGTTTCACCTGAAGTCAATTACAAACAGCCTCTTCCTTACAGATAATAAGAGCAAATCACAGCAGAAGGGTCCACGTAAAAGCAAATTAAGTTGAGACTCTCAGCATTTATAGTATAATCTGGATGCTGCAAAGATATGATAAATCAGAGCAAAACTCAATGGAAAGTGAATTGATGAGATCCTGACATATTTTAGTTTAAAAAAATTCTAGAAGACATGTTCTTCTATCAGTCTCAAAAAAAAATTTGTTCCTCTGGACGGATTGCATGAGTACACATCAAGACAATATGATATAAAGTCACTGTCATCAGTAGGTTAAGCATCTAACTGTGTCAAATAAACTCCCACGTATGGAGAATAATGGTTTTCCCTTACTAAATTATAAAACTGCATTACACTTTAAATGATAATTTAAAAAAAAAAGCAATGAAACCATACAGATAATACACATTGATTGATTTGGAAAGCAGAATGTTGATCTGAAATGTTTATGAGGAAATTACATTTTAATTAGCCCCTCAAATAGGCTTATTGATTATAGGCCAAACTGAGGGGCAGAAATATTTAATCAATAGTTTAAAGAACTGATGCTTACCATGAGGTCTGGGAAACCAACAACAACCGTGGCATAACTGTTCTCATCTGAGAGGATGCGGTTCGGAGAGGCAATCTTTTGTCCCACAGCTGAACTTAGATTTTCAGATGACAGCTGATCACTTGAAATTTTATGAGGAATGCTGAAATCTGTTTCTGAATAGTGTCAGGGAAACATTAGATACCAGATGTCCTGAAAATGCTCCAGGAATTAATTTTTACAAGATTTCATTCTTACAAGCTCAAACAGAAAAGCACAAGTTAAAAAAGAGAAAACGCTTTAAATTACATTCATGGCCTTCTGTCTGAGAAAACTCGTTTTTTTTTAAAAATTTACTATCAATGCATCCTCTCAAAGTGATTTCAACTATTTATGAAATTCAAAATTTTACTAGCAATGACTATTATCATTAATAGCACCCTGCAGAAAAGACATGAAACTGACCTAACCCAGAGTCGGCAATGGTATGTTTTAGATTGTGAAATAAGTACTGTTCACTCCCCCAAAACTGTGATGAATCAAATATAAATCGAAATCATCTGTGTAAAAACAGAAAAGATGCTACCTTAAAAGAGACTTGGACCCTAGGACCCTATATGTATATAAAAATTCTGATTTGTCCATTAAAAAAGTCTTAAATACAGAGCTTCATAGATGGTAGATTCTTATTTACTATTTCTAGCGTAGTGACTAAATTTTCTTTGGGTCATCTGTTGATATTATTGCTGTTAAATGACCCTAGAGGACAGTGTGTATACAGCTTGCTCCCATCAGACATAAACACAAAGAACACAGTCTTTACCTGGTGCAACTCCAAACCCTGTGCTGGGCGGCTCCTCTTTCAACACATATAACTGGCAAACACCACTCTCCTCAGATTCGATGTGTGCAGGCTTACTTAGAAGGTATTTCCTATAAACAAATACAACATCTAAGTGAAGTTTTTCTTTTTCTAATAATCATGAAAATGATTATTAGAATCTAAAAATCAGAGTCCCCCTAAAAAATACTCTTTTATATTTTACACCATGTCGAGAAGTTAGTTAGTTGTTAATTCATAATGAATTGCAGTTCATTATGAATTAACAACTAACTTCTCGACACGGTGTCTAAAGAGCTGTGCATAATAACAATGCAGCAATACATGTGAACTAAAAATCCAACCCTTCGTGTAAAAGGTCTATAAAAGAAAAACCAACTCTCATGAGACATATCTTATTATCATGGGGCCTGCTGTTGGTAGGGCTGTTTGATCAGCCAGTGAATAGGTGTCTGACCTCTGATTTGTGACCAGCTAAGGGACAGAGCCCTCACCACTGTAATCCCATTGATGTACTTATTTTTAAGGTTTCTGAAAAGGAGATGTATTAAGAGCCAGAAACCCTTTGCAGCAGGCCGCCTGTGCTTGCCAGCTGAGTTGCAGAAAAAGTCTGCATTTAGCTAGTGGATGACATGCATGAAGAAGGCGGGACTCAGAATTCACTATGCACCCTATTTCTGCCAAGAGCACATAATGGGCCTTTCCTCGAGAAGTGTACAGTCCAATTGGGGAGACAACGCACACATAAACATAACCACGTAAAAGCACACAAGACAAAATGAAGAAGAAACTTCTAAGAGGTGGATTCCGTGAAGTCACAAAAAAGCGACAGCTCTATGATGGAGAGTGTGGCCCTTTGATGAGAGGATACATTGAAAATCTATTGTGAAGTATCTCTAGTTTGGCAAGAAAACAGCTGAGTTCTCAATGTGCTGACAGGAAAACGCCCAAAGAAATATGGATCATTATAAAAATCATTATGTTGTTACTGTTAATGTCGATGCCACCCTCTGAAACACTTTTATCATTACTCTGTGACGTGACATGTAATTTATTTTCATTTTCTCCCCCAACCTTCTTTAAACTTTCGCCTATGGAGATGTTGCCAAATTCAGAAGTTGTTAAAAGACAGATACAGAGAGACAGAACAGTAAGGATGTTGGATAATTGATAAGAAAGGTCGAGCTATACAGCACACTCCACAAGACACGAGGCACAGCCATCCACCCACTGATTTGTCCCGCTCTCCACCAGAAGCCATTTGTCCTCCGCTACAAGAAAAACTGTCTTGAGGTTGATGGGAAGTGAGATGGTGTGAGTTCGCCCTTCCAGAACATCCAGCACCGTCAGGCTGTTCCTGGAAAAGGAGAAAAAAACTGTCTGAAAGGAAATGGTGAGGATAGTGGCTGACTAACAATCATTTCATGATATAAGATTCAACCCTACAAAGACTGGCTTTAAGACTAAATAATAACTTAGAGAAATGTTAACTGAGAAAATGGACATGCAAAATTGTCAACTACGTAAAGTAAGGCTGTGCACAAAAAGAAATGGTGAATGGGCCGGCCGAGTGGTGCGATGGTTAAGAACTGGCTTGAGATGCCAGAGCGTCCCGGTTCAGAGCCCACATATGAGGGCCAGTGACACTGCCCTCTACAGCTAAGATGCTGAACAACAGCTCAACCTGGAGCTGGGCTGCGGTGAGCCACCGGGCGACTGCGTAGGTTGCAGCCCCTGTGGCAGTGGGTTGCCATGGGCTACCGTGTGAAGCCAGCAGCCGCCGTGAGCGGCCATCCAGAAGCCGGCGACTGCTCTGCCTCGCCCGAGAAGAGCGCAATGATGGTGCCAACTTGGGCCAGTGAAGAAACATCCTCCACAGCTAGACTGAAGAACAAAAGGACAGTAACTTGTCTGTTCCCATCCCCCAATTCCCCAATAAAAATCTTAAAAAAAAAAAAAAAAAGAAATGGTGGAAAGTGGCAGCTGCCTTGCCAGTCATGGCCAATTATGGGACTGTGGACACTCTTTTCTTACGTCTGTGTTTCAGTGTTCTACAACGTAGGGTGAGTTAGTTTTATAATAAAACCTTATGATTAGGTTACATTAGTTTTATAATAAACAAGTACAATGAAAAGAGGAAATAGAATGGACAAAATAAGGACTTCAGTTTAATTCTTCTACAGCCAAGAGCTCACCCTTTTTCTTTGTAGAATACTAGCCAATTTTTGTGCGAAAATTCTCTACACATTTTATACGTTTCCTAAAGAAAAAACAAAACAAAACAAAGTAGTCACATGAAATGTGTCAGATGCAGTCATGGCTCCTCAGCTGCTCTGTCTTAAAGTTCTTCAACATGTAACATGTAATTCTCAGAAAAGCTACCTCTTTATCTCTTCCAAGGCTCTTTCAGTATCGTGGACTCAAATATATTTCAAAAGTGACTGTGAACTACCTACCGAAACACCTTTAGCATTGTTCAAAATAATGCCAAATACTAGTTAGAAATAAACATGCTACTGGGTGATTAGCTGTATAAACCATAACATAAATGAATAGAAAATACTTTGCTTTTAGATTTGGATACATTTTTGACATTTACAATATCTCCTTTTTCATGGTCTTTTAAGACCTAAATATGCTCTTCTGCAGAGCAGAGGGTAAGCCTTATTATATATCCATTACCTTTTTTCTGAATAGCAGGATAAATTCTCTTGGATTGGCCTAAAATGTTAATTTACTAGTGTAATTTGATTAATAAATTAAAATGTTTATTTATCTAGTAGGTGCAATCAAGAGCTGTTTATCATATAAGTCCAAAACATAAATGCATATGTGGAAAACAGGTTAAAATGACTGCATGATTAGGAATTTGTTATAAATATCATACTCAAATAGGTCATAATGTTTTATTATGAATTCAGCCTGACATGTTTTCATGTGAGTATGATGGATACAAAAAGGTGTTTAATGATATGTGTATCTATGTCTCTTTGTACTGTGTTAAAATCTACAAATGCGTAATAAGAGAATTCTCTTGTGCATTATAATAAACAAAAGGCACTAAATGGGATGGGTGGGCATGCATCTTTATGGTTAAAAAGTTCTAGAAAATCCTACGCAGTTTGCTGGACAAGGTGTGTATTCCTTACAGTGTCTTCCTTGTTCCACCAGGAAGGTTTCTTAGATGTCACCTCTTCTGAGGGGAGGATGAGATGACGAAGGGTTCGGCCAATGGTATCTAACAATAGGATGATGTTACTCTGGAAATAAAGAGAACAGTGAAAAGCTCAGGATTTGTTTCTTCTCTTAAAAGCCGAAACCTCTTGGCAACCTGGGAGTAAAGGTTATCGTGCTAAACCAAAGGGAAGACAGCAATATTGAAACACTGAAGAGACACCATGAAGACACCAAATGGTTTTCCTTCACACAGAATTTAAAGTATTAGATGGTTTTATGAAGATGTTTCTAGTTATGTGATGCAGAAAGTATTCTCTTTGAAGATTTTATCTTAAAACCATCCCCCTCTAAATATAGGCTAGCTTAACCATGATTCTGTTTTATTATGTGGTAATCATAAAATTACGATGATTAATGATTTTTAGGAGTCCATTTACTTTTATCAAAATTACCCTTAAAGACTGTTTTGTTGAAAACTTTTACATTGTACACAGTTAAATTAAAATCAATAATTAAAAATAATTAAATTAATCCTTTTCACAAGTCCAGGTTCAATTCAGAAAATATGTACATGATATAAAGACAGATTAGCAAGAAATTATCAGGGACCCCAAGAACCTAGCTAGTAATGTTTCTTCATCTCGAAATTCACTAAGCTTGAAGAACTTTCATAGGTGGTGCTGTAATACTATACAAACAAGGGATTTCTGCAGCATTATTAATCAGTTATGCAAATGAAGTAATATCTGAGTAATTAGGAGCAGTTTTCAAGAAAAGGAATTTTTAAACAAGCCTGAAGCATTAAAAAAAAAATGAGCAGAAACACATGAAATCAGAACTTCAAATTGAGAAGGCCAGAAAAGATTAAATATTTTAAAAGGATGCGAAGAAGTTGGCTTGTTTAGTTAAAATTTAAAGACTTTTAACAGGTTTGCCAAAGGCATCAGCAAGTTGTCAGTCCTCATTTTTATGCATTTTTTTCCTTTCTCTCTTGTTGTTGTTCGTTTTAAATTTGGGACTCCTCCAGTTATCCTAACCCTTATGAAATTTTCATTTTAAGAACTCCTTTTGGGGAAAATTAAGTCACAAAGCACCCAAAGAATTAATATACTTCAAAAAATTAGGAAACAGACTAGATGAAATGTTCATTCATCTCTCCCATAATATTTATTGAGCAGCTGATATTTAAAGCACAAAGGAGAATATAATGATGAATTGTGGCCATAGTCCTCTATTATGTAATTCAGTTAGAGAGAAATGAAAAGAAACATAAAAAGATCAGTGATTCATCTGAAAATCTGGAAACTCGTCGTGTTGTTTCAAATTTATTTTACTAGCTAATTTTACTGAAGTGCTCAAGAATTAAAGCGGTGGTCATATCTCATAGTTTCCTTTACTCTATGCACTCAATCTTGGCTGTATTAAAAAATTCCACTCAACATATTGACAAAGGTTAAATATTTCAACAAACATCACCCTTAGAATCCACTATTCCATATAAAATGCAAATCCCCATTAAGAATGTGTGTTAGGAAAACTCTTTTAAAATTAACTTTCACATAAGAAGTATTATTCCTGGCATCTGAAAGATTAAAAATGACAGTGATGCCTTAAAAGTTTTTCTTAAGAAAACGTATTAATAAGATAAAAATTTACAGTCTCCATTCTAGATTAAATCTATTTTGAATAAGTGTTTTTTTAAAGGAGAAACACTTCCTTGTAAAATAAATAGTACTGAAGTGATCTGGGATAATATTAACTTTTCTAAGCAAAAGAAAGTCCTAAAAATATTGTTTGATCCCAAAATACGATTAAGCAGAAGAATAAGCAGATGATTAAACAAATATTAAGCAGAAAAATAAGTTAGTACAGTTTTGCATTTTTCTTCCTTTTTAGGGTCTAATACTTATATACTCATAACTTGGCCTAAATGAACTGAAAAACTGTATCTTTCTAAGTGACAGAAAACATATATTTCCAGCTATTGCTGTATTTAGAATCAGTTTTAGAAGCAATTGGCAACATGAAGGAGTTCTGTTGCTCCATCCTTTTAGAAGTTAATGGTTTCCTTCTGTAAATGACTAATGATATATTCTGTCTGAGTTTAAAAATAGAATTTTGCGTCACACACGAGTACAAGTCACTGTGGCTTTGGCACTTCTTTCAGGGGGGCAGGGAGGAGGAGCAAAGGAGCAATTTTATTCTGTTTGTATTTGACTGGGAGAAAAGTAACCTCTGGATGACCTCAATGTCCCCAAATCTGAAATTCTAAACTCTGTACAGATGTAATAAGTAATCTCATGGGCGGGGTGGGGGAGGGAGGGGTTGGCGCTTTATTTTTAGGCATGGAGAAATTTCCCTTTCCTCACTTAAGACTTTATTTTAGCAAGGACTTTTTGAACAACTTCTTAAGCTGGCCAAGGAAAAGGCACCCGCAGCAAAGCTTTATTTTTAAAAGACAAGGGAGAGATGAATTAATGCAAGTACTACTTTGCAGTATTTTAGCTTTGTTTTCAGTTAGGGCAGAATGGGGCAGTGTGCCTGTATTTTTAATTTTTTTATTGCATTAGAATTACTTATCGTTTGTTAAATTTTATAGCAGCATGCTTTTCATTTGGAATTAAAGCCGTCTTATAGCCTACCAGGGCCATAACGTAAGATAGACAGCTAAGACAGAGGAGGCAGTTCAGACGACAGGTAGCATGGGAGAATCCAGATAAGCTGGGCGTGCCTTCTTAGAGTGCTGAGGTAGCTCTCTGGGAAACTGTTGAAACTGTGGTCAAAGGGACAAGTCGGGGTGACATGCAAGAATGCCAGGAGGGAAAGCACTAGCTATGGAATTCAAGCTCATCTTTACAATAAAAACCATATTAATTTGATGAAAGTTGTAAGTGAACAGAGTATTATCAGCAATGTTACCAAATAATTGCATTTTTTGAGAAAATAAATACTTGGCGAGAGCCTAAAAATCTTTTAAAGAGTTGGTATACATAAATTTGACTGTTGACCTGACAGATGAAAATTTGGCAGGACAGTGTGAATAAATACTCCAAGTTTAGATTCTTATCCAAATTTAATTGGCTTATGGAATTAAGAATCATCAATATATGCACTCTTCATGACAGATTCTTCTGGCTATAGAATTCAGTTCAATGGCATTGATATTTTGTTGGAAATCTAGACCATAACACCCTTTTTCCACTGTGCTAGAAATAAACTTTTAGAAGCAATATCTGGATATTCATAACTCTGCTTCTAGGAGAAAATGAAAAATGAAAGAAAAATCTGAAAACCAGAAAAAAATTTATTGACTCAGAATTTATGATAATTATTAAGGCACGGCCTAACGTTAAAGTTAGCTTATCTATGCGAATTGCTGACATGTTATTTATGCAATATTTTCCTCTTGATTAGACAGTCTAAAAGTATTGTTTCTTGGTAACACTTTACTCTCACAGTGACTTTAAATTCTTGTAAGCAACAATACCGCATTTCTTGAATATTTTCCTATTATGAACACTTTTTAACTCTTCAGGCTATTCTTTTCCCCAAGTATGTGAAGTGAGAGAGAGAGTGGGTGAAGTTTAACTCTGCTGGGGTCCACCCCTGTGGGTTGGATCTCAGTTCCCATGTACTTGCTGGGCAAGTTGTTGAAATTCCTTGAGCCTCAGTTTCCTCACATGTATAGATGGCTAACAGCTACCTCCCTGGGCAGCTGGAAGAATAACATGGGATAATGTGCGGAATCTTTTACTTGACGCGCTGTCGGCATCTAACACCTGATCCTTCTTCAGACACTCATCCCTTGTCCCCCAGGCAGCCACACTCCCTGGGTTTATCCGCCTGCCTTGGTGGCCGCTCATTTTCAATCCCCTTGGTTGATTCCTCCTCGTCTCCCTGATTTCGTAACATTTTATTGCCCCAGGGCTTAGGGTTCAAACTTCTCTTCTCCACCACATTCACTCCCTTGGTGAGCTCTATTAGTCTAGTGCCTTAGATGTCAGTGACTCTCAAATGTACATTTCCTCTTCTGACCGCTCCCTCGAACTCCAGACTCACTTGGATATCTAATAGACATCTAAAATTTAATCAAACATCTAATCGTCCCTCCCAAATAGATTCCTTCCGCATCTCAATTGATGGCGACTGTCCTTTCAGGTGCTGGCCCTAAACCTTGAAGCTGGACTCAGCCCTACTCTCTCTCACCCCATACAGCTGATCTATTAGGAAACCCGGTTGGTCTTACCTTCAAAATACATCCAGAATCCATCCATCAGTACTTACGACCGCCATCCTCCTCCATACTGCCACTATCTCCTGCCTGGACCATTGCAAAAATCTCTGAACTAGTCTCCTTCATTCTGCCTCAGCACCCATAGTCTATTCACCACAGAGGAGCCAGAGAAATCCTTTAAAGATATATGTCAGGTCGTGCCACTGCCTCCAACACCTTCCCATTCCACTCAGAGTCAGGGCGCAGAACACGACAGTGCCGACAAGGCTGTACACCCTCAGCTTCCCCGCCCCCTCCACCATGGTCCTGCCCCAACCAATTAAGTGAACTCTCTGACCGCACCTCCCGATGCGCTTCTCCTCATTCAAACACCCCCACCACACTTTTTAAAGATGGAGAGGCACGCTGCAGCCTCTGGGCCTTGGACCTTGTAAGCAGTTCCCTTTACCCAGAACCCTCTCCCAGATGCCTGTTCTCCCCTCACCTCCATCGTGTCTGTGCTTAACCATGGTCTTCTCCACTAGGCAATCCCTGCCCCACGCTGTTTTAATGGCACGCTTCCTCCCAGCCTTCTGTTGCTCTCCCTTGCTTCTTATCTTCTACCTTAAGAACATAATTTAACTATTTAATTTGCTTACTGTCTATCTTCTTTCCAGAACGTAAGCTTTGAGGACACGGATTTTAACTGTTTTTTTCACGGCAGTATCCCCAATAGTAGGTACATGACATATGCTTGTTGAATGAATAAAATGCTTAGTACAGCAGGTGGTAGATACTAGGTGGGTAACAGTATACAGATCATCACATCCCTTTGTATTGGTATGGTGCACATGAACCCAGACCTTCAGAGTTCTCACTAATTGAAACATAGCCTGTCTTCTGATCTCTATCTTCTGCTTGGAATTATCTTTAGCCTGACTCTGAGCACCTGTAGTTTTCATTAGTTCTGTCTCAGAATAGTAGTGATGGATGAACCTGATCATCAATCGGTCCTGAAAGATCTCACTGTATTCCTACAATGGACTGAATGTTTATGTCTCCTCAAATCAATATGCTGAAATCCTAAGCCCCAGTGTATTAGGAGGTGGGGCCTCTCAGAGGTGATGAGGTCACGGAAGTGGGGTCCTCATGAATGGGATTAGTGTCCTTAGAAAAAAGACCCCAAAGAGCTCCCTCACTCCTTCTTCCAGGTGAGGTGATAGCAAAAAGATGGCAGTCTAAGAAGTGGTCTTTCACCGGACACCAGCTCTGCCCATGGTTTGTTCTTGGATTTCCCAGCCTCCAGAACTAAGAGGAGTCAATTTCTATTGTTTATAAGCCAGTTGTTTTATGGCCTTTCGTGACAGCAGCCTACATGGACTAAGACAGTTCCGTGCAGTGTATTTATACAGCCGCCTCTGCATAAAGAATGTCATTCAGGTCTCAGATAAAATGTCATCTCCTGAGAGGAGGTATGTTAGCACTCTTTTTAATACTGCTCACCCTCCCAACTCCTCCTTCCTCACTCCCGTCACTCCCTAGGATACTACCTAGTTTCTATACAGTACTTATCACTACCTGAAATTGGCATATTTATTTGTTGGTTTACTTGTGTGTTGTCTTTCTCCTCAAAGGGAATGCAGGCTTCACAACAAAGAACTATCCGGCCTTAAATGTCGATCGTCTGAGGTTGAGAAACCCTGACCTACAGGTTTCCAGGCTTACAGGTCATGCTGAAGTCTCTGCGGAGAGGACGGTGTTAGCCTGTCTCTGTGGTACTGGAGAAACGCAGCCTGGGACGCCCCGTCCCGCCAGCCCCTCCCCTCAGTCTTTACGAAGGCACGTATTTTTGGTTATAGGTTGCAAATCATTCTTGCCTGTTCCCTCACGTAAGTTACCCTTGGCATGTCTGTACTACGTGAGCGGCCTGCGGGGCATTACCTGTTGCTCGTGGAGAATCACTTGACCCTTGAGGGGATTTCCCAGGGGTGCCACTGTCACAAATGGGTGCCACACTCCACTGGCCGTTCTTGGGAAGATGTCAAAAAGGTCCACAAAGTAGCCACTTTTCCCGGCCATATCCATAAAGTATAAGGACACAGGATTGCATGTAGCGACATAGAGAGTATTTTCCTCGTTTCCTGAAATGACAAAAAGGAGTCCATTTTGTCATCTGCAACAGATTTGCTGACTGGTCAAGAGGTCTGGTGAAACTGAATCATGAGGCTGAGCACAGGTGGAGCTCAGATGATTTGGAGATGGACTGATGAGGCTGAGAAGGACCATGAGAAATCTGTCTCTTCTCATGCACCCCCCCCCACACACACACACAGATTTGTAACTATGTATGGTCACGAATGTTAACTGAACTTATTGTGGTGATCATTTCACAATATATACAAATATAGAATCATGCTGTACACCTGAAACTTATACAATGTTGTGTGTCAATCATACCACAATAACAAATAAAATAAAATAAAATCTGTTTTTGCAACCTGAGTACTTGATTAGGCCCATTTTCTAAATTCTCTGTCAGATCTTCTTCAACTTTCTCGTGCATATGGATCACTAAGGCTCTAACAAAAACGCAGATTCTGATTCGCTAGGTCTGGGATGAGGTTTCAGATTCAACCTTTCCAACAAGCTCCCAGGAGACGCCCATGTGGCTGGTCGGAGGTCCACCCCCTGAGTGTGTGTGTGTGTGTGTGTGTGTGTGTGTGTATGATTCTAACCCAAGAAAATGCTTTTTTCTCTTACAAATATAGAATAGGTAAAAAAACAAAAACAAAAACGAAACAAATAGCAAAAGCCTAGTGTGCAAACAGGGACAGTACTGAACTAGAGGGTTCAATTACATGAGGGACAGCAGAGGAGTTTCATCCTTAAGGGTCAGTTCTAACTGGCAGCAGTGCCTGGAATGTCGTGTTGAGAGCTGTGAGGCTGTGACAGGCTTAGTGAGAAAGGGGCCACACCTGATTAATGACACCTGTCCTAGGCCATGGGCAGCGGGTCACAACATACTTATTTACAGTCCCGAAATAGGAGACAGATATCCATAGAATCCACACTTACTCTCTACTAGTGAATGTATGCTAACTTAGTAAAAGCGCCAATCTGTTACCAAAAAAGCTTGCACCTTTTTGAAAGCATATGTTTTTATTCAACATAGCTGATTGTAGAAATAAACAACATCTATAGAACTTGTATGAACAAAACTTGCTTCTGAATTTTTGCATAAATGACCCCTTCCTAGTCCGGTCAGAGACTCCCTTCTCCCTGCCTCCCTTCTGTTTATATTACCTTACTAACCGCCATAATTGAGACACTTCTGCCAAAGGTACAAGGGCACACAGCATGAATCAGTAGGTGATGGCCACAGTCCAGAACTACAGATGCCAAAAGTTCACATCCTTTATTTGTCATTCTTTACAATGAGAACTTTAATGACTGCAAATCATTCCAGCCTGGCTTTCATGGTTCATGCAATCACCACACTGGAATCCCAGCCAAAAACCCCCAATGTTTCTTCTCCTCCTGTCCCCCTTCTATTTTTAGCCCGGGCCTGGCTGTGTTTAACTTTGTGCTACGATGTAATGAGAAACAGACACATGAACACAAACTCAACCAGGCTGATGCAGATTCCACAACAGTTTTTGTTAGGTTGTTATAGGAAATTAGTTCTAAATTACGTATCATTGCTATCCAATCCAAGAATGACATGGTGTGTGAGTTTATCAGAAGCTTCTTGATGTCTAGAGATTATTTTAATTCCACTTTAAAACAAAATCAGTGTTGGAAGCAAAAATCAAAGGAATCGACTGATTTACCATGTGATGTAGCAATGTCGCAGATGATGTTGACTTCATCCAATGGCAAATGCCAGGAGGCACATTCTTCCGTAAAAGTTTGCGATCTTCCTTCATGTCTTTCTATTGGATACTTCTGTATGTTTATAAGTATTGGGCCCTATAATAAAGTATTTATCGGAGTTAAGAAATTTGGGTAGTTACCAAAGTGTAGAAAACTATAGTTCTTCCAAAATATAGAATTTAAATTCAAATATTCAGTATCTTGATATACCTCCTCTCCTTTTATTGACTGGCACGATACTTATAACAATAATAATACCATATACTTGCATTTATAAATGCTGCCATATGTGCTATCTTATTTAATTTCTCACTTTATTTTCTTTTTACCCATAAAATATACCAGATACAAAATCCCATAGTATTTCTCATTGCTTCATTCTTTCCAAAGCCAAGAGCAACTTTTGAACTTCAAGTATTGGGACCCAGAGCTGTCCAAACCAGGAGAATAATTTGTAAATGAATGAATCTTTATAGTTCCACTGTAAAGAATGATTGATTATTAGATCATTATACAGAATGTGATGGCTAAACCTGGGTCTTTGACATAAAATGTAAAAAAAAAAAAGACAATTGGAATTAAAAACAATTTACTGATAACCACTACTGTTAGTTATAAAAGGTAGAGCATTTCACACATGGTAAAAATAATTCAATAGAAGCATAAGTAGAGGAACTAATTTAATCATATCATGAATATTAGTCCTGGGTACATAGATATGATATCCTGGAAGGGCTATATAGATATAACTAAAATTTCAGCAATTTCTATGCCCCACAGTCCTTAATAGAAAAATGTTTGGGTTCAATATTCATTATTGTGGCCTCCATCTCCCCACATCCTGCCCCTTTTTGTCTAGTCCGCATCTCGGGAGCTGGAAGACCAACAACTACATTCCCCATAGTCCTTTGCAGCAAGGGTTCTGATGTAACTTAGGTTCTGCCAATTAAATATACTTGCATGCAATATGGAAGGCAGAAGAGAAGGCGTGGCCATCGTCCTGTGGCTACAGTGGACACGGAGCTCTGACCAGTACAAACGGTCAGATTCTACGCTGTACGGTGGGCGCTGATGAACTACAGCACATAGGTCAACTCTGTCCTCCTGCCTGCTTTGTAAATAAAATTTGACTGGGACACAGGCACACTCGTTTGTTAATGCACTGGCTAAGGCTGCTTCTGCGCTGCCATGGCAGAGCTGGGTAGTCGTGACAGACTCTGAAAGCCACAAAGCCTAAAATATTTACTCCCAGGCCCTTCACAGAAAGTTTGCTGATCCTGCTTTCCTGGGTAGCTCCCAGCAACGGGAGTGGTAGCAGAAGCAGAAGCACTGATCTTGACCCTCAAAGTACAGTGGTGGTCCCTTGGCTCCTGTCCTTTCTAAGGTTTTTCTAAGCATCTAATTCCCCACAGTCAATCCCTTTCTGCTGGAAATACCTAGAGGGGTTTCTATTGCAACTAGTGATTGATACTCTTTCCTTTGCCTGTTTACATGAAGACAAATATCATGGAGTAACTGTCCTAGGATAACACACAAGATACCTGATTCTCTGAAATACAGATCAGCTCTTAGGAATTCTACTGGCTATGAGCCAGTACCTACAATGGGTCCCTCAGCAGCCAAACTGGCTTGAGAGTTAGAGAAGGAGCTACATCTATTCTGAAATAACATCAGAACAAGCCATTTCTGAGACTGTAAGGATTTTCTCCAGTGAAGATACAGAAAAATCTGTAACATTCAATATTTTAATGAAGAAGTAATATCTACCTTGACGTCTATATGGTGAGTTTCTGCCGGACACAACAGTCTCTGCATTCCATCTGCTGACTGACCAATCGTCCAGTAGCCCAGGAATGTCTGCTCTGGCAGAGGCAACCTGTCAAGGACAGTTTGAAAAGTAAACATTTCTTCTTGTTCCCGAGTCACAGGAAAACATAATGAGCCACCTATTATCAACCACACAAATACATTTGAAGAATGTTTTACTTAGAAGTAAGTTTTTGTCACTTTATTAAAAGATAGCCTATAAAACCATGTTTAGAATGTACTTTAAGAAAAAAAGGTTCCACATTTCTGAAACTCAGGAGGTAAAGCCCTATTCTATTTTTACCTTAGTGACAAATATAATTAAGGTTTACATATTTTATTTTTTTCTTGAATTGGTAAAACACTTAGTGATTTAACATCTAAATTCCTAGCAGAATATAGGAAGGATTTAGGGGAAAAACATGGAGCTATCTATAAAATTTTTCAGTATATTCTTTCAAATTTGGAATCAAATGATAAATAGTATACAATACTACAAGTCACATGTTTGTAAGTTGTACGGGGTAAGTTTCATAGACGATTTTAGCACCTTAATTTTATTTTTCACTTTGAGTTGAAATATATATATAAATGTTCACATAAATGTGTCACAGTCCTGACCAAACCAGGAACGAAAACCAGAACCCAAAGACATAGAGCATCACCAGCACCCAGAAAACCCCTCAGGACCACTTTGGTCATTAGATCCACCAAGGGATAACCCTGATCTCTAATGGATTTACCCTGTGCTTAGATTCCTCATATTTAAAATTACTTTTTTTTTTAAAGATTTTTATTGGGGAATTGGGGGGATGGGAACAGTGCTGGGGAATTGGGGGAAGGGAAACAGACAAGTTGCTGTCCTTTTGTTCTTCAGTCTAGTTGTGGAGGACGTTGCTTCACTGGCCCAAGGTGGCACCATCATTGTGCTCTTCCCGGGTGAGGCAGATTGGTCGCCAGCTTCTGGACGGCCGCTCACTGCGGCTGCTGGCCACTCACGCTGGCTGCTGGCTACACACGGTAGCTTATGGCAACCCACTGCCACAGGGGCTGCAGCCTACGCCGTCGCTGGCGACTCAGGGCAGCCCAGCTCCAGGTTGAGCTGTTGTTCAGCATCTTAGCTGTAGAGGGCAGTGTCACTGGCCCTCATATGTGGGATCCGAACCGGGGCCCTCTGGCGTCCCAAGCCAGTTCCCAACCATCGTGCCACTCGGCCGGCCCCAAAATTACTTTTAAATAAGGTGACTTACCAAAACATATGTGGCAACGCTAAAGTTTAAAACCACAGACAAATTTTTTAGAACAAAGCCTTCACTTTTGAATCATACTATCTTTTCTGGGATCTTTAAAAAGAGAGCCATTAATTTGTCATTTAATTCATTATACATTTCTTATTCCATGATAAGTTAAGGCAAAAAATGATTCAGAGTTAAAAGGTCTTTAAAAATAATGCACATGTGGCTATAAATTGAAATGCATGCATGGAATGAGTTGGATGATCATTAAAAGAGTACATATTTATATTTAGAAATCACTTTATTTTCAGTAAGAGTAGTCTGACACAGTATTTCCACATGCTTAGTAAGACCATGTAAATCTCAGACATTTTTCTGCATAAAATTCTGGTGGACTGTGCTTTTTGGCCCTCTGAAATATTAATATTTAATACAAAAGGAAAGACTTTTAAAAGAAATTTATGTTGAAATTCTTCTAAGTCATCTGGCATAAATCTCTTGAAAGGATGTAGGTGCTTTAGTATCTATGATCTAAAATACATTTTAAGACCTGGACAATTATTCCGATTGGTCACCCACTTCTATGTTTTTTACTGGAAATGAGGTGGGAGGGGCACTGAGTCAGAGGATTTACTATTATTGTGTTCTCTCTTTTAAATGTAATGAAGGTACATTTTTGTGTCAACCAGGCAGATCTTGAAAACATGTCCAAGACCGGGATCTCTTATTTAGGAGATGAACTGTATCCTTCACTTGCTTTCAGCAGTTCACCAAAGCAGAATTAGGTCTCCAAATATCAAAGAAGAAAGCTGAAGGAAGGAGACACCTAATTTCACTCTAGCATAGAAGACACAGTACAACAGAATGCAGGAGATAGGGGTTCTAGTTCTAGCTCTTTTACTAACTAGCTATGCAGACTTACAAGGGGAAAAGCCAGCTAATTTCTCTGAGTGTTAATGTTTTCCTTTGTGAAATCAGAGGGAAGATCTGCAAGGTTTCCTACAGTGTAGACGTCTCTGTTGATCACTGAAGTGAGTAGAGGAAAGTGTCCACGGTAGATCCAATAGTCTTGCATTACATGTTCTGGGGTGAAAATAAGGGAACGAAAATACCTACACTTACCAATGGAGTTGGTGCCCCGAGAAACAGGTACGCTTTATTAAAGCTTATCAAAAGAAGCTCGAAATACATCCCATTCTTTGAAGACAACAGAAACAGTGACACAGCTTGAAATCTAGCTATGTTTCTTAACAGGTGGAGAAGTGCTTAATAAAAAAAAATGATCCTTGGTTGATAGGTTATATGTAGCCTAAAAATGAATCTCATATTTCCTTTAATCATCATAAAAATATCATACAGATGCTAAAAAAAGAAAGCTCCCTTCATCGATTTCAGAAAAAGCACCTTTACCTGACAGCTAGCTTTTCCTGAGAATTCCAGGAATATTCATGAAATCTGGCTTGAACTCGGCAACTCATTCTAAATAACAGTCATGGAAATTACTGGTTCCATCTTAAGATAGCATGAGCTAATTGGCAGGGTATGGGAAGGCCCTTCGGGTACCCCACCTGGAGTCTATTCCAGATGCCCATAGCTAGATGCTGTGTATGGGCAGTCACAACTGCAAATGAAAGACACACACACTCAGAGTGTTCAGGAATTGCACAAACTGACTCCATCCAGCTCCTTGGTAACACGAAGTGTTGTTTCTAGACATTTCCTGTGGGCTCCAGGCTGGCCAGCAGAAGTACATGGAAGCCCCTCATTTATTTTCCACTACTAAGCCCTCCCAATAAGTGGTGGAAAATTTGGTGGTTACTAACTCTCTCCTGTTCAATAAGTTAGTAGTCAGGGGAAAAGAGAAGGCATAAGATTGGATGTGTGAGTAAGCTTTGAATTTCAGGCATAATCAACATTAATTTGGGGGGAACTCTAAACTAATAGCCAGTTAACAAAAGGTCTTATATTCCATTATTAAAATATGTCATCCAACTCTGACCAGACTGAAGTTGTTATACCTGATTTGACTGAAACAACAATATTTTCCATGGTTTTAAAATCCTGTCATTTGTTTTATTTAACTTTGTTCAAGTCCTAGCAGGAATGATGTCTGCATTTAATTTTACGGGGGAGGAGGATGAATTGAAGGCCTATAAATAGTACTACTTTTTATCTTCAATGTCATTCATGAATTTATGTTTTTTAAAACAATGAAGTATTTCAGTTCACATGTTGTGATGTTTCTTAATCCTTTCTGGAAATATTAACAAAGATTTGGAAGTAAAAGTTTTAACTAAAAGAAAGGTGAAAATCAAAATTATGACACAGGTCAAATTATGGTACTTGAGCAAGTTACAGAAAGGAAAAAGAGTGTTTTGTTTTTTTCCCTAAACATGCATATAATTCCTAACATGATGCATAGTGACACCGAAGTCAAATAATATAGTCTGAATGACATGCAAGAGATTTGTCTAAGATTGTTTCCATAAAGAGGTGAGCTGGGGTTTTTAAGACTCTGTTCTGGCAAATTTCTGCCTTCTCTGAACACTTGCCAGTACTATTTCTGGAGTATGAAAGAAACACATGAAAAAGATTTGGATCTTTCTGGGGGCATTATGTAATTGGAAGTTGTTGACATACCTATTATCAACAATTCCTAAAACATTTCCTTACCACAAGAACGACTAATTTTCATGGGAATAATGGAACCCTTCAGGGTAGTTCCACCAAATCTCAAAAATTCACCAATTACTACCATCTTTGAGAAGAAAAAGAACAAGTCGAATTTGAGCAGGCCTCACTCATGCCTAACGTTTTATAGCTAACCTCTGGTACAAATTAAGGTGGATTGTCCTGCTGCATTTACTGGAGCCTGCATAAGACAACCCTACAAATATTTCCACCGTTGGCTCTTACCCCTTCCTGTCACACTCCAGGTAATTTATGCCTTGGCCACTTCCGGCCGCTACTGGCTGGTCCTGAACATACTATGCATTTTCATGCTTCCATGAGGCCACTACCTCTCCTAGAATTCCTCTGCCTCTTTGATGAAACCCTCCTCATTCTTAAGGCCCAATTCAAATATCACTTCCCCTTGCATCCCTCTCCTGTGTTTCTTGCTGGGCAGAATCAATCTCTTGCTTTTCTGGGTTTCCATGTAAATTTGCACTCTTAGGATAGAGCTCTGTAGAATCTGCAATGTTTACATTTAAGACCTGATAGAGAATAAAAGTTTTAGAGAGCAAGATTGTAAGTGAAATCTATGAAATCCCTCACAAATATTTTTACTTAAAATAAAATGTTACCATCAGCATGCTAAACAGAAAACAGAAAAGCCCACTTACACACTTTAAGTTGATAATAACGGGTCCTATGATTCCGTTACTCTCCCTTGTTTAGTAGACCCTTCTGAACCTTTCTTCCCTATAGGCTCACGTGTTGCTGGTAAATTAATTTTGCTGCAAATGGTATGCACACAATAAGGACGTGTCTGTGTTATTTCCTTTCTGTGCTTAGCTCTGCATTGAGACACAATGGCTTTCACTTTATAACTTAGACTTGGCGCACCTCTGCCACCTGGGTCCTGCCGAGGTCATGATAATGAAGCGTAATCTGGATGCATGAGATGGAAAAAGGTTTGGGGAAACTTGCTATTTTGGGCTGACATTTCTCAGATGGGCTCCCCAGTCAGTATCCGGAAGGACACCGCGTAGCCTGGCTGCGGCCGCCCAGTGTCAGTCTGTGCACAGCAGACGTTGTCAGCTTGCTCACCGCGCGTCTTTGGTTTTCCTCCTCCACACAGAAGTTGCCCAACTACAGTTCTGGGGCCTCATTT